TAGAAGCCACCCCTGCAACCCCCCCCAAAACCTTGCCACGCAAACCCAGTACAGCACTAGAGTTAGAACAGTTGGATCATGATCACTTTCTGTTCTGATGTTGCCTCTACTTGTGTAATTATTTTTGTGGCAACATATCTATATCTTAACGATCCATGGTCTTGAAGTTCTGTTAGATTTGTAAAAAGTTTGTTACGATACTGGGGCAAAGATAGTGGAAGACAAATTCCCGAAAGAAATGTGTGTCTCATGAAAAGCAAATGTTGCTGTTCTAAGAGTTCCTATGACCCTTTCACCTACTGATAAGATTTAAATAACTTGCAACATGTGTAAGAACAGTTTGATGGTGTAACAACTATTTGCTTGTATTGGACAGGTAACTTTAATTTTTATATATATATATATTCACAAACACTTCTCTCCATGTAGATTGCTGATCACTGCCCCATTTGTCAGAAACTTATGGAACAGTACAAGCTGAAAGTACGTAGATGATTGGGAAAATGTAATTTTATGTTACCATGGTTTGGCAAGGATTTGAAGCAGATGATGATGCTATTAACTTAGTGGGTTTTTTTCTTAAAAGGTAACTGTGTTGTTCATTCTAGAATAATTAGTCTGACATTGTAGGAGAGTGTCTTAAATCACTGAGCACGTCTATTAATTGGATTCTTTTATTCAGGTGCTCTTACATGTTTAGCCATGCTCGAATTTTAGATTTTTATAAAGGCTTCAAGCTTCACTACACAATTTCAGTTGCACTGAAGTTCAGTTTTCTTTGCCCTCTTTTGTGTACATGTAAGATTTGCTTAAATATCTATCGTAATGAAAGATGCGTTCGGTTGTATCTGTTTGTTGTCTGTATTTGAAAATTATGACTGAGTATAAACAATATTTTGCTTGGAAGTAGTTTAAGGTGCTACTAAATTATATTAGGTATGGATGGCATTGTAAAACTGTTTCATGATACTAAATATTTGATTTTTCAAGATACCTTTTATGTCCCAATACTGCATTATTTAAAGACACTATCAGTCTCACTATGACTTTATAATAAGCCTTCCAAGCAGCTGCCAAGTGCAGATAGCCAACATTTACATTCAGTGTTGTGTGATGGTAGCTGTGACATGATTCCAATTAAAAGCTTGGTCTGCACACTGCAGATGTCTTCTGAATATTAATGTGTACCACAGACAGAGCAGATGGAATCTCTTTAAAATACAATGCAGTGAATGTAAAATTAAGGTTGGGTTTCTGCTGGAAACTGAGAGGCAGTCAAAATTATTCTTCTCTTTTGTTGTTGTTTTTCATTGCTAAATTACAAGAATATCTGTGTAGAGTCATCATCTTTCTTCACATGCAGGAGGAAATCAACCTTTCATTATGCATCCAGATAAAAATACAACATTATGCTTTACTAAAGTTGTCTTAAATGCTAGATGTACCTAGAAAAATATCAGGAACGCATGCAACATTTGCTGTGCCCTAAAATATGCCTCTGCATAAAGGACAGATAGGGGGCAATAGATAATAGTTGAAATGTAGGATGTCTATGAGTTGAGTTGTTCATTGAGAAAGGCTGTGTAAAAGTATATATAGGTGTGTGTATTCAGTTGGGATTTGGAGATATGTGAGGTGTATTAGGGAAAGCCCATCCTGGATAGGAGGGGTAGTATAAAACTGGGAAATGAAGAGAGTGGCAAGAACATCAGTGGCGCACTGCAATGTAGTGTCTTGCAAACCCAAAGTTAGGTGTCAGAAAACAGCAGCAATCCAGCTGTGAAAGTGTGTGGATTAATTAATTAGTTATTTCCCATGCTTCTTGACATGTGGAATAAAGCCTTGGTAGTATGAATGTATTAAAAGTCTTGGAAATAACAGGGTAATTGTGGTGGTAAAACAGAGAGTAGAAGGGTTTCTATGTAAATGGGAATTGTAACTTTCCTCTTTTCTGCTGCGGTTGTCTTATCCTCTCAGGCAGAATACAGGAGTGTGTGAAGGGAGTGAGTGGTTGTGTACAGGGGGAAGAGGTTGTAGAAAAGGCAGTTA